GGATGTGCTTCATTTAATTCAATATAAATATCTTTAGCTAAAGGTAAATAAGTTCCACTCATTCCACTTGAATTAGTTAAATAAATTCTTCCATCTGATGTAACATCACAAGCTTCAACAATAGCAACATCAATTGGTGGAAAAATTCCTTCTCTTATATATTTACTAACATGACTTAAATGCATATCAATAAAATTAACTTTTCCTTGATTAATTAATTTTCTTAGATCTTTATGTGATTGATAAGGAATTTTTAATTTTAATCTTCCACTACGTGCTAAAACTCCATCAAGTTCATCACCAGTTGATGCACCTGTATATAAATTAATTGAAAAATTTTCAGGATTTTTCGAATTTTTAATTCTTTGAGCAAAAGCACCGGGTATTACTTTAGGATAACCAGCTGGTGTGAAACCAGATGCTCCAATAGTTACTTTTTCAGGGAATTTTTCTGCAACATCTTCAGCTGACATTTATTTTAATTTAATAAATGAATTTATTCGAGATTCACTTGAAAAACATCGATATGAAAATTTAATAAGATGATTTCGATAAAACATTTTTCCTTTGAACAATTTCTATCTGAAATAACAAAATCTTCCTTTCGTTTTTTTTTTTTTTGTTAATCAAATAACAATAAATTAAAAACGATATATTATTTATGACGTTTTTTTTGTTTATCTTTTTTTTTAATTATATTTTCTAAAGTCGAATCAATATTCCAACCTTGATATCCTTCGAATTCGGATAAATTTGAACCTATATACGGATTTTCAATATCTATTTTAATATAAAGAAAAATCTATTAATATTACTTGATATATTAGATTTTATTTTTTTAGTTATTTTTTCTGGTTGATCGATATCGTTGATCGATTCTTCAATAAAAAAAAATCTATTTATTAGAAATAAATATATTTACTCAAAAAAAAGAAAAACCTCTATTATGTTTTCTTTTGTTTTTTGAAATAGTATCACATGTTAATTCAACTTGTTTATCAATTAATTCTTCAACTAAATTATTCAATGGAATTTGTTGACAAGATGAACTTTCATCAACTAAAAAGATAAATCATATTGAAGTATATATTCATCCGAAATATATCTCATCTAAACAATTATTATTGATTTAATTATAAAAAGAATTTTTTTTTTTATTTTATATGAAAATTTCGAGATACACATTAACTTATTTTTTGTTTAGTTTTCACCAGATTGAAAACATTTAAACCAGTTAGGAATTCACGATTTTTATCATAGAAGCCGATCATGATCATAAAACCTGTTCGGTGTATGCAGCTATATTAAAGTTAGAAGCTTGATGTATTTTGCAAGAGCGTCCAATCAAATTTTTAAGTTACACTCGTCATGACTAAAATAGTTGCATGGCATCCTTCTGGGGGAATACGGAAACGGGTAGAAAATAATTTTCGAAATTTTGAAAAAGTTTTCATGAAAATATTCATAATATGCGTTGCGCATATGAAAAATGAGATCTAAAAGTGATTTCGTCCATAGGTTGAACAGTTGTACTGAAAAGATTAAACGATAATGATATATGAGATATTCTTCCTATCTGATTAACATAAACGAGCTTTAATTAATAAAAAAAATGTAATTCCAATGCTTTTTCTATGTCGATATATATTTAAACAGTTTCGAAAATAAATCGTTTTGATAAGTAGTTATTTGTAAATATGTGTCATTGAGGCTAAATTATCTAAAAATATCCCGTTGAATAGATAAACAAATTC